TGCAAATGTGCATATTTTGTAAGATTTTTGATAGGAGTAACATGAAGTGTTTATCTTTAGAATTTATACTTCCGTTTATCTTTAGAATTTATACGGTTGATCTAACTGATTTTACTACTGAGCATTGGTGTTGCAATATCATACTTTCCCAAGTGCGTTTAGTCAATCAGTATTCCCTCATTGTAAGTTGAATCTCATAATAAACTCTGTGGTTCACTTGCTGTTGTTAGCAAGGCAGAACCAGATATTCTAAAAGAAAGTACAACTGTTTTAGAAATAAAAATGTATGCGGTAAACTACCCAGAGTGGAAGACTCTTCTAAATTCTTCTGTTGGTACCAATTCTATACCTCATGCCTAAGAATTTTGTTAAGTTAGTCCAGTATCAGATTTTCAAATAGGTATGGTGCTTGTCTCATATGCTTTAACCTTATGAAGTTGAGGTATATGCTTTTCTTTCTCCTACCCATCTCAAATAAATCTACAAAATTAAAATTTGCTAGGATAATTAGGAGCATCTATAAATTCAACTTATATGAAAAAAGAATCTGCCATTCTCAACTGAAGATTTTTTTTTCCTTCATTAGTATGTTTAAAAAGGAAGCTTACGTGAAATGTTTTTATTCTGCCTAGTAACCTTGGAATGGATGTGTGGGATTCAGAAGAAGATATTATTCCCCCGCCACATGCAGTGGAAGGACCTTTAGAACGGTTCCCAGATGAAGATTTTCAAGGGTAATAGGCTGAAACACGGAATTAGAAGTCAAAAAAAAAGAAAAAAACACATAGTGGGAAAGATAAGTTTCTTACAGCACGCTATTATTTTTACTATCAATTTGCTATAATGTTACAGAAGAATCTGCTGATTTTGAGTGCATTGGGGATGATGTTTTGAAAGACTGAAAGTACTATAAATATTTCAGCTTAAAAGAATTTTTATGAATATAGGCTATTTGTGCAAAATATATCTACAGCAATGAAAAGATAAAAGAATGTCTGCTATTAGAAGTCCATAAGTGATTAGATTCACTATGGAAAATCCTACAGTTCAAAGGTTCTTTTTCTTTAATTTGCTATATTTCACCCATCGTATATTCTTCTAGAGTAGTTTCTAGAGTAGTTTCTAGAGTAATTTTTTTTAATAATTACTTCGGAATCATTTAGGTTTAGAAGTTTAGCCTTTTTGCCTTTGTTTTTTTTGAACTGGTACTGTGGAACTACAATTTAATGTTTGTCACAGTTTCTACTGTGGCACTTTTTGAAAACTTCGTAATCTTACTGGACTGTTTGGATTCTTTGGTACCAATATATTTTACTTACTATATCTTTCAATTCTTAGTTAAAAAGCTTGTTTTTATTAATAACATGTGACACTTACAAGTATAGATGGTCTATTTAAGATGGAAAATTCTTTACAGGTCTGGAAAAAGATTAAGAATTTATGATGACCACTCACACAGTGATTTGCAAGGACAGATACAGTTGAGAGATTTTGATTTCATTAATAAGGGACCTGGACAAAGACGAAGACCATTTCATGATCGCCAGTCTCAGGATGATTTACGAGCACCAATGCAGATGAGAAACTGGGACTACAATAGGGGACCGGGACAGGGGCGAAGACCCTTTCCTGATCGTCAGCTTTATGATGATTACCAAGACGACATGCAGCTCAAGGACCTAGACTTCAGTAACAAGGGCCCTGGACAACGACTGAGATCTTTTCATGGTCACCAGCTTCATGATGATTTACAGGCAGAGAGACAGTCAAGGGACTTTGAATTTAATAGGGGCCGGGGACAAAGGCAGAGATCTTTTCCTGATCATCCACCTCACAGGGATTTGCAGGAAGATGTGCCATCAAAGGATTATGATTTTAGTAGCAGGGGCCGTGGTCAGAGGCGAAGACCCTTCCATGACCACCAGTCTCATGATGAATTTCAGAACCGGATGCAGTTAAAAGAGGTAGATTTTGTCAGCAAAGGTCCTGGCCAAAGACTGAGGCCCTTCCACGACTATCAGTCCCATGATGACTTACAGCCACAGATGCAAGAGGGAGATTTTGAATTTGTAAACAGGGGTCGTGGTCAGAGATTGAGACCTTTTCATGATCACCAAACTCGCAATGACTTACAAACAGAGATGCAACTAAAAGATTATGATAATAAAGGTCCTGGACCAAGACACAGATCTTTCCATGACCAAAAGTCCTATGATGACTTACAGGAACAGACTCCATTAAATGATTTTGATTACCCTAATAAAGGGCACGGACAAAGGCTGAGATCTTTTCATAATCATCCAGCTCATGATGACTTGCCGCATGAATGGTGTTCAGACAGGTAAAGTATCTTCGGCTGTAAGATGACAGTTAGAGAATAAAAGTGTAGTCTTCAGCATTTTTTAGTTTTAGATGAAGGTGAGCTTCAAATTTGAAGTTTAACTTAAAAGTGCTGAGGATTACTCTTTTTGAATATATTAATTTGAAAAAATTATCTTTTTCAGATCATATCTGAATGATCAATTAACTTTTTGAATTTTGATTTATGAAAGGATTTGACCTATGATGGAGTGCTGCAGACAGCATTTCTTATTTAGAAGGTTGAGTTTCTTTAATTTAAGCATATGGTTTTTTTTCTTTACCTCTTTAGCATTACCTTGAAACAAAACTCCCTGTCCCACTTGGTTGTATAGAGAAACTCACATTTTAAAAGCAATCTTCAGGACAGAGGCAGCCAAACTGTGATAAACCATAATGCCACATGGAAGTTTGAATTTCACTTATTGCATAAATTAATCACTTGTTAACTTTTTGAACTAGCTTTTCATATTCTCTAAAATATTTACATCACTTATTAATAAACCTATTGGACTAGTACTACATTTCCAACATAAACTTTCAAGATACTTTCTGTAATTCAGAAAACAACAAGATGTTTTAGATACCGGGCTAGTAAAGTCTCATTCAATTTATTTCATACTATTGAAGGATTATTATATCATTATACTAAGGCTTACTATTTTGAGGTACTACACTAATACTTAGATTTTTATTATTAAAATTTTAAGTAATTATTAAGTTTTTTCATCTCATAATTAGCATATTTATGGCTTTTAACAGTTTCCAACTATTTATACTCTTCTTAACATGTGATTCTTTTCATTATTTTCAGAAGTCAGTCTTTTTCATCCCATGAAAATGTACCAGAATCTCCTTTCTCCTCATCCCCTTCACTTCACAGAGATTATGGGCCTGATAATGATGACTTTAACAGAAGTTACAGGTAAATACCAGGTTTCATATGTTAGTTTACTCACCTTTGCACCATTGTTCCTCTAGTATAGCAGCTATAAAATACATAAATGAACTGTACAGTCTAAAAAGTAGTGTTCATATTTTTTGCTTAAGCACAATTTGAAGCCTTATATCTGAACACTGACCTGTTAGTGATTAAACTTTGGTCCATCTATAGTAGGTCTGCCTGTCTTCAGGATGTTGATGTCATTGTGGCTGAAGTCATTGGCATGGCAAGTGTGTTTCAAGCTAAATTACTAAAAATGTAAAAACCTCTTGTTATTTAACTCTTAACAATACCTGCGACTACCTAATTGGAGTGTATAGAGAAGAGAGCACCAGACACCTCTTAAGCATGCACGGCGACATGACAAGGGGCAGCAGACACAAGTTAGAACATGAGAAACTGGGGTTAGATACATAAGGAATAATTTAAATGCAAGGATGGTCAGACACTGCAACTGGTTGCCCAGAGACATGACCCTGAGCTATCTTATCTATTTGGACTTAATTTGAGCAGGTGGTTGAATAGTTACTTCTAGAGATTCTTTCCAACCTAAATTAATTTATGGTTCTGTGAAGGAAAAGATTTTTAAAATTATAAAGTTTGTTCTGAATTGGTTTTATACAGCATTTATTTTACAAAATAAGTAAGGTACTTGCGAGTAAAGAGAATCCAAAACAAAAAGTATACACACAGCTGATGTATCAATCTTCCATATATATTTTGTAGGCATACTGCAGAAGATTCAATTAAAATAATTTGAGATACACTTCTAAAACTTCCAAAGTGTATTGTTGCCTATTGAAACTGTGTAGCAGACAGCTACTGTTGTGTATTCTTCACAAGAATGAAAACATGGGCTCAGGAGCAGAAATGATCCCTAAGTAAAGAAAGTCTTGGTAAATAGGGAACTTTAATTAGAAACAACTCTTGGAAGAAAGCGCTTTCTAATAGAATTACCTAATGTAAAGAGTTGTAACACTAATCACTAGCAAGTAAAAGGAAATATAAATATGGTGGTAGTATCTAGAAGACAGCATTTATAGGATGTAAAAAATAAGAACGATGAACTGAATTTTTGTTCTTTTAAAGTTATACAAATTTAATTTCTAATGGTGGCCACCAATAATAAATCAACTATTTTTTCCCATGTATTTAATCGCTAATATTTGTTCTCATTACAGTAATCGACCAAGTTGTCCAGAAGACAATAGGAGAATGCATCCTTCAGATGAATTTAATAGAGGAAAAAACAGATTTGCACCATATTCTTCCCATACAATGCATCCATCTTCCTCTGTGCACCAGGAAGATGGTTCAATAGACTACAAAAGAAAAGCTTTTCAAGGTGAAACTGCAAGAGAGATGGAACAGGGCAAAAGGTTACCAGTTGTGACGGTTGATTACAATTATGGCTTGCCATTAGATTATGGACCCGAAGAGGACGAGAGGACACATTATGATTTACCTCCACGAGATCGCTACAGCTGGAACTGAATGAAAAGGACAGTCTTTGCTCAGCTTAGACTTACAGTTACCCATTTTACTTCCTATGTGGACCATTTTTTTAAAAAAACAAATTAGAAAAGTGCAAATTTCAATAGCAGAGAAATTCTCTCTATTGTAAGATTAGCTTCTACTGGTGTTTGGTTCTAAAATTTATTAGGATGCTTTTGTTAAGTGTAGTTGGAGACAATGTCTCAGTACCTATGGAATGAAAGTAGTCCTTCTTTTTAGCAGAATTGGAAAGCTATACGTTAACACAAACAACTTCCTGACAGATAGTAATTGTGTCTTTTGAGTTTCTTTAAAATGTATGTATTTCAAGATGCAAAACTTGCAATAAAACACTGCACCATCGGGTGAACTAGCACTGAGATTATAGGAAAACTACTGTGAAATTAATGAAATAGTTATGTCAGCTTCCTCCTTTAACTTGAATTAATTTAGTTTGAATTAATGCCAGCAAAAATGAATGTCTCTGTTGTGAAGCGTTGATTATTTGAAAGAGATCCTTAAAACAGATGCTTTGCCTTTTAATGACAGAGCTTAACGAGATGAAGCTTCAGTTGTTCAGTGGATTGAGTGCACAATTAATAGGTAAGAGTAATTTGTCCCACCACAGTTAAATGAGTTGTATAACATATCCTGTTTTCTCTTTTGATTTTGTTCAAAGTCTGTGGGATCTTTGCAGCTCTGCAATTTAACTCCAGTTTTTCTGTACCATCAACTGAAAAGGCTTAATCTCAAGCTTTTTCCATAGCAGATTTTTCCCCGCAGATCACTAAGAACTTTGAACCAAGTCGTTTTCAACTATTCTAAATGTCAAACCTGCTTTTCAGTAACCTGAATATCCTATTCTGACTCTGTTTCTTCCTGATCTCATAGACAATACATGTTTCAGAATAGTCCTATAGAGTTGAATTTCACAGTTTTCTCTGCAACTCACCAGAATGAGGTTGCTCACATTATGAGCTTTTTTATCTCAGTTAGCCAGGATTTTGCCCGCAGGGTAAGTGCATTTGCTTCCCTGCTTGTTGGTCGGATCTGTCTCCTTCTGTAGTGTTTACTACTAGCTTTTGGTTACAGTGGAGTAATTTAATCAGAGTAGAAAATAACATCTGGTAAATTACATTTAGATTCATGCATTGGAACAGTCTCCTCTGTAGTGCAACTTCAGGGGATCTCCAGAAAGAAATGCAACAAACAGTGACTAAATTCATGCCAGCAAGTGCCTCCCATTTTGTGCAAAACCAAATCTTAATTCATAGGACAGAAAACAGTATTAACAGAATGCCCAGGTAAATGACAAATTCTATAATTTTGATAATTTCTGCCTGTTAAGTCAATTAATATACTTTTAAAGGGATATCATTGTGAATAGAGATAAAACTAGACCAAGACATTAAAAATAACAATTAAAATTAGTATTTCAAGACAGGATATGCAAGGCCATATGCAGTTAGGAAAGTGCTTGAAAAGCACCATAGCTGGAAAGCAAAAAGCAAGAGGGTGTAAGTATGCATTAGCAACTGCAGTAATAAGAGGTCATATCCAGAACAAATGGACTTTTCCTGGCTTTTAATTAGCAGCATGAAAGCTAGATTTCTGAATTCCTGGTTCTGTGTCTACTAAATAAACACTAGAATTTCAAAAGTGTAGAACATCTAGGAACTCCTGTTCATTTGTATCCCACTCAAAAAGCTCCAGGAATTAAAGAATTCTGTGAATACAGATTCAGAATGCAAATGCCTCATGGCCTTTGCTTAGGCTTTGATCACTTTATACCATAAATAGTTCCCTCTCACATCAGCTTGTCAATTTTATTTCCTATTCTATCTCTGATTGTGAGAATGGTGCAGGCTCATTCACGTGGTCTCAGGAATTAAAATTCTCTAGATAGAAACCAGATTTGGAACTTAGCACTAAATGTTAAGAAAGAGTAGCATATTGCTTGCTCTTTTTTTAATAATGAGGGACATACTAAGAATTATTTATGTATGCTCTATTTGGATGCAAAAATGATTTGCAACTCAGGCTACTATATTACATTATTTAAAAAAAAAAAAAGTATTCTCCAGCAGAGAGCTAAGAATTAAGGACTGACACTACAGCTGTCTTTGTTTTGTTTTTACATTACCTAAGCAGTGTGCATAAAATGAATAAAGACCAAGCATTTGTGAAAATTTAAATCCAAACGATGCTCCTGGGCTTTCATATTTTGGATTTAAGGTCTGAATCATGTTTATAGAATTGAAATGACCCTACACTCAAGCCTCCATTATCTCAGTTGGTGGTGCTCAGGATGCTCCAGGTATCTGAAACCTGCGGCCCTGGAGGGCTCTGTGCCGTTGGAGCACTGCCCTGCGGAGCCGGGTCGGCTCCAGCAATGCTCATTTATTTCTATTTCTAGTGGGAGCGGCCATCAGCTCTGGCTCCGGTCTTGCAGGTGGGTTGAGGGCTTTCATACTGCTCTAGGTTTGCAGCCTGGAAGTTCCACTACAGTGAGGAGTAATTGCAAAGAGCCACCTCAAGCCCAAGGCTAAATAAGCTTTTCCAAGCTCCATTTATGTTACTAAATTGAAGCTATCTGGAACTGCTCCCTAGCACTCAGGACAGCTGACATGGAGTGAGCTTCGTCCGGGTTAGGCTGCAGCAGGCAGCTGCCATTTGGGGATGTTCCCTGGCACGTCTGGCATCTCCCAAAGCAGGCCAGGCTTGTTAGGGAGAGTGGTGGCAGCCACACTAAAGCCTTCCAACAGTTTGCAAGGATTCCTTAGCTGGGAATACTCCATGATTAGCAAGAGTGCCAAGACATCCTGGTGAATGGAATTTCTAGATGGCTGCTAACGTAGCCACTACATCTGCAACTACCTCCCAGCACCCTGAGCAGAGTTCAGCACCAGAACTGCACGCACGTCCTGCTGCTCTCTCTGAGGAAACCTTGGAGAAAAAGAGATGCAGAAAACCCAGAGGTAGCTGTTAGGCGACCTGAAAAAATAGTTGTTTTAAGATGTGAAACTAGGTATCCAAACATACAGATACCTCAAAAGCTTAGTGATTTGGAATCTGCTCAATCCTTTGGAAAGAAGGAATGAACCCCCATCTGGGATTTCAACAAGGGCATATGAAACCCTGACTGTTGCAAACAGCAGTTTGTCCAAGCTGTGTGTACATAGAAAGAGTAATAACACCACACTGTTATCAACAACTAACCTCTCTGAACAGGCTTTTATTCACTTCACTTGTCAGTGGACAACATTTTACTGTTCCATGTGGACAGAAAAAAAAATGCAGATCCCTTTCTTACGGAATCTATAAGGAAAAACAAAAATAGGGACAGAAATCAAACCATGTTAGAAAGGAACCTTGCTGCAGGCTGCAATATCTCTCATTTTTCCTGAAGGTGAAAGACGACAATTAACTGGAGAAGGACAAAAAAAATGTGGAAAGAGGAAAAAAATGAAGAGAAGGAAAATGAAAATATCAGGAGATAGAGTTATTGGTGTGAGGAAAGAAATGTGCAAATCCTATGTGAAAAAAAAAGCTGCTGAAAGATGGCTGGGTGTAAAGGCAGAAACGAGCACACGCTGGAGGAAGAGCTCCTAGTAACGCCTTATCTGGGTCTCATAACCTGTGTCTATGTAAGGACCATGCTGATGTAAATAACAGTTATCGAAAGAATACAGGAGCACTCTGACCTCTATCTTGCAATAAATTCATGTGGGAACTTAAAACTAATTACAGCTTCCCCTTGAGCTTTAAATCTAGTTGGTGTGTAGCATAATATCCTGAAGATATTCTCTCCAGAATCTGACCAGCATTTCAAACAAGCAAATAAGAAACTGCTCCACCAACTGCTTCTGTTTCACATGTGGAGATCAATCCATGTTATGCCAGGATTTCAGGAATCCTATCATTTGAGGAATTTGTGGATTGAATCCAACTTGTTTCTTACAAATACATGCATGATATTGCACACTTTCAGGGGCATAATCAAAATAGACCATAATGTTGCTCCTACTAGAGTCATAGCATAAAACTTGCAGTTATAAAATAGTGAAACAAAGTAAAATATACAAATTTGAGGTAAATCCTTTCACAATAATCACAGTAAGCAAGCCAGTACAGACTCATACTGTAAGCAGAAATACAACATATGCTCATAATTAAATGTTCCATAAAGGAAGATGAAAGACCTCCAAGACAAATATATTTTAAAGTTGACACAGATGAAGATGATTCTCATGCAATTCTTTAAATGACCCTTTAAATGATCCTTTTAGCAGAGGAGCTTTTATTTTGAAAGAAATATTACTAAGCAAAATTAACCCATCCTTAAGAGATGAGAGTACAAGCTGCTATTGATATCTGGGAATCAAATGTCAGTGCATTTATGGAAGGCTTGCAGATGTACACAGGATATACAAAAAAAAAATACAAACTGTTGTAGCAAAATGAATGCTAGAGCTGATTCACCCTTGTCTATAGGTCTCAGACAAAATAGGAAGAGCACCATATTCTAGTAGCTGCAACACAGAGGAACTATTTAACAACAAAGGTAAATTCTGACTTTCAAAAGTTACATAGCAGAAGATTTCAATAGGCCTACAACATATTCTGAGAAACAGTAGTTCAATTTGATTTACAAACTAAAAGAAAAACAAATTGATTTCTACCATTTAATATAATAGTTTTAATAAAATTCAGAGAGAACAAAGCATATGTTCTCATAACTTGTTTTTAAATCTAATTTAAGCTCAGTAATTATACTAGAGCTTGTGATGAAGGCCACAGATAAGCCTTCTTTTTTATCTTTATAATGCAACAGCTTTTGGAAAGAGCTGGACTAGATGTGAACCTTCTGGTCCTGTTTATTCAGCATTATAGTGTGTTTCCACATCCTTATGTCCCCAATGACAAAGGTGCTTTTCTATTTATACTGTTTCTATTCAGTTTGTGCACACTGGAACTACACACTACAGTCTTTTTATTGCACAGGGGAATGTCCCTCTTGCCCTAGCTCATGAACACAGAACAATTTGACTAGCGAAATTAAATAAAAATCTTTATAGCCACACAAGCTTAAATAAGAACTTAATAAAAATTATTTATGGTATAACTAAAAATAAAGAGAATAGAAATATCTTTCTGATATCATTTGTTCCTACTCAAATTATTTTCTTGCTGTACTTTTCCACAGGCCTGTAAATCTGTACCTATAGATCTACAGAACAAGTTTGACTTCATTATTTCCATTCTTTTTGTTTCCCACTGTGGTTCATTTTTGTCCGTTACCTTGATCCCTCCCCCTCCCCCCCCAAAAAAAAAACTGATAACTAAGGAGCTTTTCTCCCCCCTTTTTTTCTGTAAATGAAATATTGCATTTGTTTTTATATACATGAATGTATAACATATAAGTGTATATATATATGTGTACATGCAATTTTCCATATGTATATATAATTCTTTCCATAGTCAGTGAGAAATGTGATATAAAGGTACAGTTATCCATAGGAGTCACTATTATCAACCTCATAGTAGTTCAGAGTTTATAAGCCACCTTTAGTGAATGGACATATGCTTTAGTCACCTTTTTAACACACAAAAAGTGTGTAGTTACTAATAAAATTATTCAAAAGGAAGTAAAAAGGAGGAGTTGGTAAATGTAAAACATAAGAACTCCATGAAATGTATAATTGACACCATTTCCTAGAAAGAACTGCAGGAACAATAAACTGCTCAGACCTAAGACCTATGGGCTAAGAATAATAGTAATGTAAAAGACACATCTGTATCTAGCATAAAATAGGAAGAAAAATTAGAGCTGAGCTGGAAAATAAAAACTTTGATATCATGGAACTAAACACTAGAGAAGTAACAGACTATGGTGAACAAAGGCATGGTTATGATTAATAGTACAAAATATTATTTTATATATAAATGCAAATGGATATATTTGTTTTTATATATGTACACATATACAAAACAGGAGCCCTAAAAAACAGAATAGGTAAGAAGTTTGTCAATGAGAAAGGACTTCATTATGAAAGATTCTATGACAAAATATCTTTTTTAAGACTACTAATATAGGAGGAAAAAGTAGATGAGGTAGCTTAATAGACAAGGTAGTAATGGAAACAGCTGAATATTTAGGAATATGCAATGAGACCGGCTAGATGATAGAGAGGGACAAGGAGCCACTTCTGGCAGAGCTCATTGAACCCAGTGAGACAGAATCCCTGGGAACAGATGACAAAAGAGAAGCACAAGTTTGTGCTCTCCACTTACTCTCATGGTATCATGAGCCTCTTCAGGAAAGTTATACTGAATGTACTACAGTGAATAAGGTCAGAGGTAAGCAGATTTAATGAAACAAATATAGCAACTCCAGGGACATTTAGTTGGTGGTGATTTTAACCTCTCTGCTCCTTGAGAGACTGCTCCAAGATACAAAGAAATTGGAGCCCAAGAAACACTTCACAGATATTACTAACCTTGTGCTGCAGGTGACAGTGGCTTCTTTCTAATGTGTCTCAGTTTTTCACTGATGCCTCCGGAGTCGGTCTTTGCACTACGGGCGCTATCAGTCAGCATTCAGTCCTGATTATGGGGAGCAACTCTCAAGGCAGACCATATAAAAGTTGTCACTTTTAAAGGAGTCTTCTGAGACAGATACAAAGCTCATGAAAACGTCCTTGGGGTAAAAATGAGACCATTTAAACCATGGCATTTGGTACGGAAACTCATGAAACCTACGTGACTAAAGATAAATAATCCATTGAACAAAAAAATAGTAAAATAACAAGAAAAGTATGAACTAAGTAGCAAGAGACAAGATTATTCAAGAAAAATATCCATCAGCAATCCAATTTTTGTGACACCAGTAAAAAAGGGTCTAAGCTACAACATGTAAAATGTAAAATAAAAAACAGGTTTGAGAAAATCTTGAAAAGCAAACAGTTAAATGCATGAAAATAAACCAGAATTTTTAAGTATGCCAGAATAGTTTATGAGATAATTGGTTAGTTTGCAGACCTCCAAATAGAAGGCATAATTAAGAAACAGCATGTTGCAGAGAAACTGAACAGCCTACCTGCATCAGCCTATAATGAAAACATTTATCTCTGAACAATTTTTTCCATGCAACAATTTCTTCCAATAAAGATAAAATAATGCCAGTGATTAAGATACCAGCCAAGGAGATGTCTGAACAATCTGCTAAGCAGGGACAAGCTCCTAAGACTAGATGAGATTTCCAAAGGGTTTAAAAGTGAAATAAGAGAGCCACTTGACTACATGCATGCTGCTACAAAAACCCATCTGTTATTCCAGACTGGCAGTATAAAGTGTCACACCTACTATTAAAAAAGAGGTTGGCATGATCCTAAGTAATACAAACCTGCAAACTTTCAGGACAAGAAAATTCTAATAGAATAATTTCTGATAGAAAACTCTGCCTCTGTCATCTATTATTTGCACAGCTGTAGCACTTGAAGGTTGCACCATTTTTTCTTAGGCTCTGTAGGCACACAAAACAAAGTTTCAGGGGCTACGAATCTGCAGGCTGAGTAATAAGAGTTCATAGAAGGAGGAACTCAGAATAAAAACAACTGAGATCTGTGCAAGAGGTAACAATCATAAAGCAACTTTTAATTTAATTTAGTTTTTATTTAATTTAGGAGCAGGTTCGAGGGAGCATACTAGCACACAGCATGGAGGAGTCTTCTAATATATGCAAAAAGGAATTGATTGTGTAGATATGCCTTTGAAAAATGACTCAAAAACAAATATGCAAAGATGATTGACTTATGGAGCAGGTCAACAGATGAGGACATAAAGAAGCAGCAGTTTTCATAGGGTGTAAGAAAAGGCTTGAGCAAAAGACATAGGGAAATAATTAAGTAAAGGATCTCCTGTACATAAATGTCACATGAAAACACAGAAATATATGCTGTGAAACTTAAATGAATTTGCTTCAGCCCCCAGTGCAGAATGCCTGCTGTCAAGCAATAAATCATTCTTCCTGTCTTTTGCAGATTGCTTAGCTTGAACTGCAGTTCATCATCATTTCAGCCAGTGCTTTGAGTCACCATCAATATTTTCCCTGCACTTATTTTTTAATCAGACAATATAAGCATTATGGGCTTGTTAACAACAGATTTTATTTCATATTTGACGGGCACTCAGCCTTGACTGCCGTTTAAAAAAAAAAAAAAAAAAAAGAACACACAAAATGTTTTCAAGGAATCCGAGAAGAATTAGGATGTTAGAATTACATGGGTGTTGGAGGTAGCACCTGAGGGTCATTTCAATAACACTCACTGCAGGAGAGAAAGGCTGAAAATTCCTGGCTACACTAACAAGTAAATATTATCAAGGATGTTTGCTGTTATCCCTGTCAACAGTTCCTAACCTGCAGTAACAATTCATTCACTCTCAGCTTGCTCCCAACCGTAAATCCCTGCTGCTCCTCCCCACCACAAGGCCAAACTGCAAGCACCAAAACATGTGCAAAAACGAGCACACGCAGGACAGGCAGAGACACCACCCGTGCCTCCATCCGTGCCTGGGACAACTTCCACTCTCACACCTCTGGGTGCGCCCGCACCATGATGAGAGACGCGCTACTTACCAGGCCCGTCACACGGCAGAGAGAGGGAGGCGTGCGCAGTTTCTGGAGCGCTTCAGTAAGCACCCAAGGGCTCTTCAGTTGGGCTCTTGGCCTCCAACTAAATCCACGGGGGCTTTTGTAATGCTGTGTGACAGGAGGCGGCAGGAGGGAATTGTGTTGGTGATGGGCTAGACAACATTTAAAGTCTTAGATTTGCCCACTGCCTCCACTGAACATTATGGAGTTTGCCAAGTACAGTCACAGCCTTCAGTGCTGTTAAGTGCTACTCTGTTATCATACGTGTTCACCACTTACGGGTTTGATTTTGGGCTGAAAAAGCAGAAGGGCTGTAGCAGACTACAGTGTCCTCCAAGCTGCAGAACGCATGGGAAAGGAGGAGATAATCCCAGACCACCCTGCTGCGGGAAAGGGCAAGGGCTGACAGTGTTAACAAGAGCCTTGTTTGTCACCCACAGATCTCCAGTTACTGAGCAGGGTGGGCAGGAGGGTCTTTTGTAAGGACTAAGTGGTGTCAACAGCTATTCCCTGAAGGAGGTTATTCAGTGAAAGCCATGACAGGGAAAAGATGCATTATCTGGGCCTAGGAGACTAGTACTTTGCCAAAAGCTTTTACCACAGAAAATGAAGTCTGCGGTTTGCTCTAGCTATGCGTTACAATGTGGAGGCCTTGGGCTGACTCATATTGTTGAAGTTTGGTGCTTCTGAAGTAGTAAATTTAACACCAGCTCCTAACCACACAGAAAGTAAGACAGCAAAGCAGTATTCTACTTCCCCATATTTATACGTATGGGGACAGGCCCTTTTAGAAGGCTCAAATATAGGCCTTCTCCCCTTTGAATTCCAGCAAACTCATTTCAGTTCCTGTTACAAGCCGCAGCCACATGTGGGTATCAATAACGTACTCATGTGCCTTGGCTATAGAACTATAAAGGAATGATAAATGTGCAGAGTTAGTGTGTATATTTGGGATATACATGTGTTGATGGGGGCAAACAGGTGAATACATATACACACAATTAACTACTAGGGGTAAAGACAAATTTTATGTAGTGAGTTAGCACCATTCCACAGAAAAGCTAGGAAACAGAAGTATCTTTAGAATAACCTGGTAAGAAATTAACAACTGAATGCACCATAGTAGGCCTGGGGTAAAACTACATCACCATACACAACTATTCAAATGTATGTATTTATGCAAATTTGATTTCTCTCCCTATCACATGAAAGGTTGTGCACACCTCAGCTAAATTTACATCCCTATGATCATTAATTTAAATGATTATTCAAATACAAATTGAGATAATAATTGGGAGTATTTCCCTGGAGCTGAGGGCCTGCACTTGGACGCTCACGATTCCCCCCCACGCGGTAGACGAAACTCAGAAGAGCTGCGCACGACGGGCAGAAGGGGCTGCTGGGCGCCATCACCGGCGACCTTTGCGGCCACATTTACATCCCTATGATCATTAATTTAAATGATTATTCAAATACAAATTGAGATAATAATTGGGAGTATTTCCCTGGAGCTGAGGGCCTGCACTTGGACGCTCACGATTCCCCCCCACGCGGTAGACGAAACTCAGAAGAGCTGCGCACGACGGGCAGAAGGGGCTGCTGGGCGCCATCACCGGCGACCTTTGCGGCCACCTGAGGAGCTGGGGCGCGTTGGGGACGAACCGAGCGCTGCGCCAGGGCACGAGAGGCCGGCGGGACGCGCCGCGCCGCAGGGGCAGCCGGAGAGCCGCGCTGCGCGGGCAGC